GGGCTGTGCTCCAGCAGATGGGGAGGATGTGGGATGCAACTCCAGGGAGGAGCACAGCTGCTGCTTTGCATGGTCTGTGTGTATGAGATGTTAATGTGGACTCTGGAGGATAATTTGCCTTTGCCTTATTTGCCAGTTCTCTTCACCAGGCCTGTACTGAATAAATATTAAAACTTCTACTTGGAAGCGAAGTTCTCCTGAGGGAATTCTGTGCTCTTGTTGAATCCTCCTCCTCCACCTCTGCTGGAAGTGCATGTTGTGATCTTTTCCTCTCCCAGGTGTGTGATTCCCTGGGGCTGTGGTACCCAGGGGGCTTGCTTTCCCCTCTAGGCTTCCATCATAGTCTCAAACTCAAATGGTTTCTTCTATGCAGTGGCTAATGTTTGTCTCTGGTACCTGGTCTTTAAGAGCAGCATTGGGGGTTATCTGTGTGTCCAGGTGGGAACACAAGGCTGAGAAAGGTGGGTTTCTGGGGAGAGATGGCAGCTGGGGTATTCACAGTTTGTTAATGTTTAATCTGTGTTGCAGCTGCCTCTGTCCTAGAGCCCATGATATATGGTGGCTATGGAGCACACAGACGCATGAGGAATAGGCAGCAGCTCTTTCTTTAGCTGAGTGCTGTTTTCCCACCCACACTGCCCTCCTCTTGAGCCTCAAGCTATAATAACAGACACTGAAGGGGGGTTAACACTTGGGCAGCGACCTTCTGGGCTGGGAAGATAGCTTTTCTTGGATTGGGAAGGCTGCTCTGGCATTTGCTACCTCCTGGGGGCAACCCCAAAGGTGGCTCTGGGGAGTTCTTGGCTCCCATTTGCGGTGCATTAGGCCAGCACTGCTAACCCAGGCCAGCTGGGTCTGCCTTAGGTGGCCTGACACTATTATCCCAATTTCTTTATTAGAAGATCTATCCTGGGCTTATATGGTGCTGTCTGTTTTCTTGGAGGGTTTTTCCTGGTTGTAAATGTTGCTGTATGGTGGTCAGACTGTCGGCTCAGGGCTGGATGGACCTTACAGAGAATCAGTGGCAAGGAGAGAGGGAGGAAATAGCCACCGTTAATCACTGGGAGAGAGTTCAGCTTCCAGAGGTAGAACTGGAGATTGCTATATGTATTTTATCAACCCTTATGGAGCTGTTGAGCTGCAGGCCTCAAATTAAAGCTATCCTTAATCACGCCACAAGTCACTGGGGTTGGGGGTAGGACAGCAGCCTTCTATTTTCTAATGCTGAGCACTTTGGGAGGTTCAGGCTTACCATAAATTACCAACAAAACAAAACTTGGTTTCTTGAAGCAGCCTTCCAGGAGGTTGTGTCTGCAACAAAGAGCACTTGAAAAGAGGAAATTAATGTGAATATGTGCCTGAAAAACTGCAGATGCTTTGGCTGCTGCCTGAGGTCAGCATTGCTGAATGGGATGCTGTTGCCTTCCCCAGCACTGAAAGCCCCTGCAGAAGGGAGAGGTGAGTCTTTCTCCTCATCAGCCTAGGGGCCCATGGGTGCAGTTAGCCCTGGTTAGGCTTTTCTCTTCCCCTCTGTATCAGACTGTTGCTGCCTCTGTAGCACACAGCCCCTGAGCAGAGCTTTGTGGGCTAAGGCTTAGTGCATGCCCTTTGCCAAGGTCTCTCCCCTGTTTCCCATGCCAAAGGCAGGTTTTGGGTAGCTGGAACAGAACTTTCAAAGCATATAAAATGCTGTTCAATCTTTCTCAAAACCAGGAGCACAAAAGAGAGAAAAGGCTGCAGTGAGAGCTTGCTGATCCTCAAACCCAGGCAGCTCTTGCCCTCTGACTTACTTGAGTGATGAGGCTTTGGGCATTCACTGTGCTGAGCGAGGTGTAGCTCCCTTCAGCAGTGGGAAGGTCAGAATCAACAGCCTCCATGGCCGTTGTTCTTAACCTGTATCAGGTGCATGAAAGGTTTGGTCTTTTATGGAAGCTGAAATCGTTTTCCTATCACCTGAAACACAAATTCCTGCTCTCAGCCTGCATAGGAACAGGCCCTTTGTGAAAAGCCCTTGGCCATTTGCAGCAATCAATCCTGTATCTTGCTCAGTTCTGTGTGGCCTATTCCCTCCTCTTTATCCTGAGAGGGAGAGGATAGTTTGTATTTGAGTTTGTATTGATGGTTTGTGCTGAGGCTGTTATTTTCCTTTGAGAACTTCGTGGCTGCAGGCCAGACCTATTCCCAGACTCCTTGTAGAAGTCTCATCAGGCAGGCTGGTGGGTTGTATTTTGCTGGTAACTACTGGAAGGGTAGCACCTAGTGTTATCTTCCCCTGAGTCTGCATGTTGAGGGGAAGCTGGAGAGCAGTCAGACTGGGGGGAAGTTTCTGCTCCTCAAAGACTTTCAACACAGGATACTTCTGTTCATGTGGGTCATACACAAAAGCCAGATCCTTTTCCCCTCCAGGGGAGAAGGAGGCATATCAAGATGACCTTTCCCTGATGTGATGCAGTCCAGCAGCTATTCCTAAAATCCTCCAGGAGCAGAAACAAATTGAAGGTGCAGTTGCAGTCTAAAACACCAGCATCTAAACCATTGCTTAAGCCACCATGTTAGAAAAGAGAGATGAAGGTTTTCTGTGTGACAAATTGATGCTAGCACACCCCTCCAGTGAAGGAGAGAAAATAAGTCCTGACAAAACCACTTTCCAGCTTCACTGATCCAGCTTTCCTCTACTTGCCCTACAAAGTACATTCCCTAGCTGATATCCCTCCCTATCTGGGAGGGCTGGCGATTGGTGCTCCCTAAGCAGAGCCCTGCTAATGTGTTTTGTGGTACGCTGTGAACTGCTCAGAACTGCACGGTTTCTCACATAATAGGAAGCTGCTGTTTGCTGCTCCTCCTGGCTGGCTCCAAACAGCCAAAGGCTTCAACATTGGGAAGGTAAATACACACAGAGCCAGGAGAGGCCATTGGAGCCACGGGCTATGCTGCTTCCTGCTCTCTGGAAATTGGGAGGAGGAAAGATGCTTTTGCTCTCAAACACAGCCCTGAGCTTGTTAGAGGAGAGAGCTGTTTGGGTGCAGGGAGCACCCAGGGAGGGAAGGAGTTGTGCTGCCCCTGGGCTCACTCCCTGTCCCGGAGGATAAGGTGTCTCCAGCAGCATCAGTCACTTTGCTTTTGTTCTGTTCACATTCCCGTGCTTGTGTTGGAAGAGATCTGGCTCTTTGGAGGAAGTTTTTCAGGCAGTGACTGGGGTTTCTTGCAAGTGCTGCCTATTCCTGCTGCTCTCAGCTGCTTGCAGGGGATGCAGCATGGGGGACATTGCCCACGGCAGCTCAGAGACCCACAGCAAATGGTGTAGTTGAGGTCACCAGTGATAGGAGTGGGTTAAGCCTCTTACTTTTGTTTTGAGGACATCTTTTTCCTCCCTTTTGTGAAAACATCCCGTGTTTTGATATGACCAGTGTGCTGGAAGGACACAGCACAGGCAGAAAGGAGCTCTTGAGTGAACCTCCGCAAAGGTAAGATGAATATAAAAGAAGGGGTGCTACTGTGAAACTTGAATTCAGGGTAAAACTGCTCCAGAAGCTTTGCTGATCATATCTGATCCTTAACTCCAAGCCCTCAAAAAGCAAAGCCAGGAATTTGTGAGAGCAGCACAAAGTGCTGACAGCAGGAAACCGCTTCAGGTAGTTCTAACTACTGCTTTGCTGTTGAGGCTACTTTTCACAAACAGATCTTTTGGGAGGTATAAAATCCTTTGGCAGGACTTCATAGGCAGTGCTGGGAGACCCAGGGGCATTCCTCAATTGAAATGTGAAGGATTATTCAGAAACATTAAAATGAAGCTTCTTTAAAACCTAGGCAATGCAATAAAGCCTTTATGCAGTGTACACAGGGCTTTAAGACTTGCCATCACAGCCTCCTCCAGAAACAGGACTTTACTGGCAGGAGCTGGACCGTTCCCTGGCTACCATGAACATTCTGTCTCATAATGGACTGAGGCAAAAGTTTAGGGAAAGGTTTTACAGCTATCAACGTGCAGCTTAAACTGGTCTGTGCTGGAGATGGAGGTGAGAGCTGATGTCTGAGGCAGATCATCTTGTGTCTAAGGGCTGCTGTCCCTCTCAAGCATCAGGGCAGAGGGAAGCTGGGAATGTCAGAGCAAGGCATAGCCCCGTGCTGCTGTTGGGGAGAGGGATGGCAGGGGTGAACGTGTGCTGCTGGACTGCTCCCACTACGTGCTGCCTGCCTGCTTTGTGCTCTCTTTCATTGACCAAAGTAATTATGCCCATTACATCTCTCCTTTCAGGTTTTACCCTCCCAAATGTTATTCCACAGCATTAAACCTGTGGGGGAAGCAAATTGCTGGGGAAAGTAACTAGATATAATCCAGTTTTAATGGGCACATAGAGAAAGCACATGGGGTTGGGAGCATGGCTCAGCCAGCATCCTCCTTCTGCAGACAAATAGAAAGTTATCTTGATGTATGTATATATCTAGCTTCGTGATCTCTGAGCTCTTAATAATTGGTTTGGTGACCTGCTGGCAGTGCTCTCTCTCTGTAGAGCTTTCCTCAGTCCCCAGTTAATATAATGGGTCACAAATCCCATTTACTTTTGAATTCTGAGTTATCCTTTTGTTAATGTCGCCTATTGCTTTTCTGGAAGCACTGGAGGAAATCGGAGCTATGTGCTAATCGGTAAATCTGGTTGTGTGTGTTTGTAAGCTCCTGCTCTGCTCTGCCTGCCTTTACCAAATGACCAGGGCAGCCCCTTTGTGTCAGACCCAACACACCCCTCTGCAACACTGCAACTGTTTCCCAAGCCGTGGTACTAGTGAACAGCACAGGATGGATGAGCTTGAGGAAGGCAGTCAAGTGATAGGGGCTTTGTAGAGGAAGGCTGGGTATCAGGGTGTCTGATCCTACCAGTGCCATGTGTGAGAGGCAGTGATTGCTGGAGGTAGCACCCATAGGGACCCACTTTTCTGCTATGGGTGCTTCAGCACTCACACCTCATGTCCAGCCTTGTCCTCTGTGCAGAGGTAGGGGATGTTGCCTGTCCCAGACCCTTCTGGATGTCCTATCCCTTAATTTTCTCTGTCTGGAAAACAGGACTGGGGTAAGCTGTAGCTGTCTTGCCTGCTCTCTCCTGCCTTTGTGGGTATCAGGAGCCCTTTCAGAGGGGCAAGAAACTGCCAGATGACCAGCCCCTAAGTCAAGCACAGGTATACATACCCCTATTGAAGGGAGGGAGAGCATCAGCCCCCCCCCCGATTGCCTGAAGACCTGTAAACTGCTCCACACCACCTGCTGTTGCTGCTAACCCAAAGGCTACAAGTGGCTTGCAGGGACTGTGTTCCTGCTGCAGTGGTTGCCCACAGGTTGAACTGGGTGGGAAACTCCAGTAGTGTTTCCAAGTGCCAGAATATGAGTCATGAAGCCAGTGTTTCTAGCTTATTTTTATTTCCTGATTATCTGCAGGGTTTCAGGCTCCTGCACAGCTGACAGAGCCTTTCCTTTCGCCCCTTTTCCTCGTGCTTCTATTTGTCTCCCTATTTTTAGCCTGTCTGTGGCATTCTTCACACAATGCCTGTGTGCACCGCTTTGATCAAAGCTGCTGACAATGATGGCAACGTGACCTTGAAGGTAACAGCACGCAGTGAAGCAAGATCTGTTGTATTGAGTTAGTTTGCTGTGGCTGGGCATCGTGTTTGCAACCCAGGCAGGCACGCAGCATAACCTCCCCTCTCTCCTTGGATGCTTGCCTTGACAGATCCCACCAGAATTTGGGCTATTTGACACCAAAACCCTCTCCTTGGCCCACAGTAAGGAGCACAGCGGGGAGCTTTCCATCTCTGGGAGCCTGATACGCAGATGTCTCTGTCTCTAAAAGCTAAATTCCCCTGAGAATGGAGTTGGATGTCACTTGCTTCCCATGAAACAGCTCGATGCTAGGCACTAGATGGCAGGCAGTGACTGAGAAATCCCATTCGTGGAGCTTTTCTTTCCTTTTAAAGTCACCTCCTGCTCCATCTCCGCCTTGCTCCAGTGTGGGAGCCTGCAGCATGGAGTCAGGATCACTGATTTTTAACTGCTCTGCCCAAGCTTGCACATTGAAGGATCCCAGAGGTTGGCTGAGGGTCATCTTTGGTCCAGGGAGGCTTGACAAGTAACAGGAGCCTCAAAGGAGTCTCTAGGACAGAGAAAAGAGGCAAGGAGCAGGCAAGGCAGCATCTGAGGATCGATGGTGGATGGTGGGATGATGAGGGATGCTCAGGGTGCTGTGCAGGGCGATGGGGGTGCAGAAGGGGTGCTTTGGGGGGTTATCCCTAAAAAGGGGTCATAACAGGAGATTTACCTAGAAAAGGGTATGTATTTCCCCCTTATCTCAGTGATGCTGCATGGGCTCCCATGCGCTGTTACAGGATAGGCGTGACAAAATTCCTCCTTTATCCTCCCTTATTGACCAGGGATCTAAAGTTCAAGGTGTCCTTGGGACCTGCTATGTGTTGCTCCCACCACTATGAAGCTCAGGGCTTCATACCCCTGTGGTGCTGGGTACCTGGTTGTCTTCTTCTCAAGCACTAGTGCAGAGCCACAGCCTCTCTGCCACACTCTAGGTGTTGTAGGTCCCCTGTAAGCACCTTTCCAACAAAAAGGGGATTATCTATAGCTTGTTAGAGTCCTTGCGGGGAGGGAGAATAAGGCTCTTTGCTCTGAAACGTTCTCTTCCCTGGGATTACAAGATAATGCATATGAAACGACATTAGCTCAGCCAGGTTTATGGATTATTTGAAAATCAAATTCTTTTAATCTCATCCACCATCTGGCACCAACGTAACAGCCGGCAGCCAGCTCGCTGCTGCTTCCAACCCCGACTGCGCTGGAGCAACTGGAGCATCGGAGACGATGAGAGGACACCAGCATCCCTGGCCACCACTGCGCATCCTGGCACCAGCACCTTGTCATGATTCCCAAGACAGCAAGGAGGTAACATGTCTGAGAGGGTCTCCCTGGTGTGCACTGGGAATGGACAGGCAGGCTGGGAGCATCTCACTGCCTATGCTTGTGTGACCATGAGTCTCAAATCCAGCAGCCAGAGGGGTCCCCTGGTCTTGGGTAAAGGTGAAGATCCAGGCAGGGGACCTGCCAATCTCACCAACATGACTTACAGTGATCTGGCTGGACAGGGAGGGACAAAGGCACAGGAGCTCCTTGCAGGATGCTGATGCAGAGCTTTTTCCAAGGAGGTTATGTTTTCCTTTGAACATTAAGGGTGCTGTCAGGGTGCATCTGGGCTCTATGATGAGTAGTGCCAGGGAGCCAGTGACAAGTCACATTGTTTGCAGGTGCTGATGTGAGCAGGTACAGTGTCCCCTAGGAGCAGGGCAGAAGAGCGTGTCGGGGATGCAGCATATGGAGCCCTTGAGCAGGATCACAGTCAGCAGCACCACAGAGGGCAGCCTGGCTCGCAGGTCAGGGAGCAGAGAAGGACCACTGTAGGAAGCTGGAGCCACCAGCACTAGGGACATGTGAGTGTGAAAGAAGTATTTGCTGAGCACTGTTGCCCCCACTCTGTAGATGCAGTTAGCACCTCCCTGGGGAAGGGACAAGGTCGAGTGGCATCGCATCCTTCTCCCAAGGAAAAGCCAACCCCTCAGCTGATCTTCCAGATGTGAAGCCAGCTGTGCTACAGAGCTGCTTGGTTCTTGTGGTTTTGGATTCTTTGCTGAGTCTCACTAGGATCATCCATCACCTTCTGTCTCCTCCAGAATGCTTCTGCACCTACTACCACGGAGCACTGTAATCTCAGTGCCCATATAACATGACTAAAAAGCCTTATGGGATAATAGGTCATGGTTATACAATTTAGTTCAAATAGAGAAAGGCCTTTATAGCTATGAATACATGAATACTTAAAATATATATATAACATTGGTTAACATCAGGACTTATAAGCATAATATGTATATAACGCTGGGTTAACAGCCTGTTCCATGCCTCCCTGTACAGAAGGCTGTAGCTGTTCTGCCTGTCAGCTCTATCCCAGTGGCTCTTCTTGGCTGGAGTCACAATTTGCACCATTTTTGCTGAGCTCTAGCTATGGAGAGCAGCTGTTCCAGGCAGAGGGATGCTGAGGAGGGAGGACTGGGTTTGTTCCTTGGAGCAGATTGGGATGCTGCAGGTGAGGATGCGGTACATCTGCCCTCAGGTAAGGAGTTGCACATGGAGCAAGGTGGGGAGCTGATGCTCCATGATTCGATGTACCTGAAGACAGTCACGTGCAAGAGGAAAAGAAAACAAGAAGAGAGATGAATAGCTTTAAAGCAAAGAAAGTGTCATTTTTGAGGTAATTAATTACTAATTATACACACACAGAATTGTCTGTCATTAACATTACTTGGGGTTTCAGTACGTTGTGGTTTTAATTAAACAAATCCTTAGATATTTTTTCTCCTTCTTTGTAGAACAAATTCATTTTTTTTTATTGGTGCCAAAGAATAAATTGTGTAATTAGTGACTATTACTTTGTCGCTTCTGGAAGGTTTATTTCCAGGTTGTTTGTATGCAGTGGCTAGAGAATCAGTAATGGTTGTGAAAGAGCCATTTGAAGGCACTGGCACAGGGTGCTCAGAGAAGCTGTGGCTGCCTCATCCCTGGCAGTGTTGGACACGGGCTTGGAGCAACCTGCTCAAGAGCAGTAGCGAAGCTGTGGCTGGTTCCATGTGCTCCCCCTGGCACAGGTGAGGGAGAAGTCCCAGGATGGTATTTTCAAGCATGCACCATCACAGTCATCATTACAGGGGGCTAAGGGCTGGCAGGGATGACATATCTCCCCCCTGCCCCACCATGTGTAGGGTACCCAGCTGATTCCAGGCAGGAAGAAAGGAATTCAGTACGCATCTACTGATAGGGTCTTAATAGAGCTGCACTTATTATTTGGAAAAGGAAGAATCAGGATTACAGGCTTATGAGGGATTAGCAAGCATGAATGCATATTTCTGCATATACTGCTCCTTTTGTAAACCCATTGTGCCATTAGGCTGATACGGAGTTATACCATTACTAGCATGACATCAGTGTATCAGATAGTCTTGATTATAAACCCCAGCAGCTGTACTAAAGAAAACAGTGCTTTCCCACTAGCCTGCTGATCCTCTTCTGTTTGTAGCTTGCTTGGCTGAGAAACCACCTTGATTTTCAGACAGCATCAGTACCACCAGGAGGACAGACACCTTGTGAGCATTAGCCCACCTCCTGGGGTCTGTCAGAGTGACCAAACTGAGGCTTTAAATGCTTCAACTGCCTTCTCCTGTGGGGTTTTAAGCAGCAGAAGGAAAGCAGATGCATGAGGATGCTCAGGTGTGTGTGCACTCAGTTATAATGGTGGAGAGAGATCTTTGCTCAGAGGAGCTTGGGTCGCTCATGGATATATATATATATGAAGGCCTTTCAGTGTGTCTGAAACTTTGCGTTTCTGGGTTTAGCTAGAGTACAAAAAGATCCTCATAATGATGGTGTATCTGTTGGCTTCAAGTACTGCATGTCCTCAAGGGCAGCTGTGAGGTCTCTACTCTTGTAGCTGTGTGAGCTACCTGGAAGTGTTGAATCTATACAAATGTAGGCAGCTTAAAGAGCCTGCTTGTATTTCATAGTCTGCAAGTCTTGACCCCATGTGGCTCTCTCCATGGCCAACATGGGTAACCTCAGCAATCCAAAGCCCATGGCTGTAGGCTAAGTGGGAAACTGGGATGGAGGAGCAAGGAACTGAGTGCTTGTGAACCATCAGAGCCTCTGGGTGTGAGGGCAAGTTCTGATTTTTACTAAATATTTTTCACTTTAATTTAAAGCACTGTTTGTTTTGTTGGGTTTTGTCTCTTTTCTAGGGACATGCAATAAGAGAGCCCATGTGTTTCTAACTAAATGGCAGCCTGTGCTTCGTAAACAACCCAGGTCTAGTTTGGATGGGATCCCTTCATTGATGTTTCTGGAAATCAAATAACAATCAAGCTAAAGCCAACTTGTTCCTGGAGCTGCCCAGAGCTCTTTACTGCCAGAGTCAAGGGAAACAAGAGCCCTTGGAGCATGTGGATCTGCAGGCAGCCTGTGTGACAGTCCCTGTGCCGACTCCTTTCCCTGCTCTCTGTCAGTTGACTGTCACTCTATAGGACAGCATTCCAGGAATGATCCCGGTTCCACCTTTAGCACTGCTGCTCTTCTGCCTCTTCATTTTCCTTTGGGGTGGTACCATCAAGGGTATGTGGCTTTCCCTGCCTCTGTGGTACACAAATGCATTCACCAGGCACATCCCACCTCCACACAGGGATGTAGAGCATTCCTTCTATGGGAGGTAGAATGGGCTAACTGTTGCTGGATCTTCTGCTCTCTTGGGCAGTATCTGTTTTGCCCCCTCTTCTTGCAGCAGGTTCCTTCCCCTCCCATTCTCTGATCTCCTCCAACACCACTTGCATTGCTGACACTGGATGCTTTGGACTTGAACTGGACCAGTTCTCTGTTCTGGGCTGGTGCTTTTAATGCTTAATCCCTTTTGAGCATGAGATTGGAATATTTGAAAATGGTGCCTACTTTTTTTCCCCCTCTCCATCAAAGTGGGTTTTTTCTTTTTCTAGCTGATTTTTTTTTTTTTATCCATGTTTAAGATTTCTGGGCCATAATTTCTTTTTGTGCTGTAAGTGTTCTGACAAACCTGACCCTCTGTTGCAGAGCTGTTCTGCACCAATGAACCAGGCAGGTCAAGCAATCTTCCTCTCTGCTTCCTTCCTCAGAAGTAAAAAATGACCCTACAACCACAAACCTGGTGCGTAAAACCTGATGCACGCAAGAGACCCTACAATAACAAACCCAACGTGCACATATCCCACTGTCAATGAGCACTGACATGGTTTCAAATGTACTGATGCTCCTGCGAATGTGTCCTTTCCGAGGGCATCAGCGTCAGCAGTCCTTGAGCTGTGAAACCAGGAGGATGACTCATGAACCACACAGGTGCAAGCAGTGTCAGTGCCTCGATGGTCCATCAGGTTTCTGACCTGCGTCAGCAAAACTGGGGGTGAAGAAGGAAATGGGAATGACAACCCCACCTGGGTGGAGGGGGAGAGGGCTGTGATATGGAAAATAAAGCTCCCTCTAAGTCTGTGCCTCCACAGTTTACCAGATGTAGAGGGGAGACTCAGCTCCATGCACCTTCAGGTGTGGACTGTTACTGTCATTTATAGGTATTAGAGATGCTGGCTCTTGATGTGCTCTCCAATGCTCTCCAACTTTCTCCTCTGCCGATAGCCTGAGAGCATCTTCCCTGCCTCTCCCTGCAGAGGCTTTTGGGATTCTTGTGGGTTGGCATCTCCGTCCTCCTGAGTTTGCCGTGAATGTTGCTTCTGTTGTTGCAAGAAACCCCCCTTAGGTCAAAGCCAGAAGTGCATAACAGTCCTGAAGCAGAGAAAGCCATTCTCACCATAGGGTGCTGCCCATGTGTGCTGTGACAGCTCTGTGAGCTACCCATAGCTGCAGGGACAGGAGATACTGAGATGCCAAGAGACAACCTCAGCTACCAGCTCTACCGGTGCCCTGCAGGCACCTCTGCTTCCAGTCCAGTCCAGCCCAGCCCACCCTCCTTGGCAAGCGAAGCAGTCAGCATCAGCAGCCTCAGCACCCACCTTGGTACCTGCATCCTTCAAGCCTCCTCCATCCTTTCCTCCATCACCCCCCAAAGCAGTGGGAAGCAGCCTGAAAGCTGGTGGGCTGTATCCCCTCTAAATGCTCAGAGATCAACAGTGCTGCCCCAAGAACAAATCCAGTACCACAAGCAAGACCTCTCCCAGCAGGCAAGCGAGTAATGAACTGGAGCTGGGCTGTAATGATCTTTATAAGGATGGTTTTTAAGGCTGGCTATTGGAAGCCCCAGCTAGATGATAAAAAGGGTTTCATTGTTCCTAGGGCAAGAATACAAGAGAGCACTCTGCATCTGTTTACCATACAGAAGGGTCAGAAATGGCTCTTCTCCCCCCTGGGTCCCTGCAGCTCCTCTGGCAGAATTAAAAGACACACGTGGAGGGTGAAGAAGAGAGGGAACAGAAGAGAAGAGCCCTTCGTTTCATCCCACCTGCTCTGTGATGGTGACTTGCCCTGAAGAGTCTCAGGAAAATCCTGTGTAAATGGAACATAAATGTTTTATGAATTCAGCCCTGGTGGAGTAAATTAAAGGGTCATTAATGGCCTCATTAAAGAGCTTTGCACTTTGTTCTGAATTATGAAAGCTATCATGCAATGTTAAACTAAATGGAGTTTTCGGCGAGGTTTTAAAACTCTCTAACTAGTTCCCTTTCCCCCTTCTGTCTCCCTTATTTTCTCCCCTTATTTTTTCCTCTGGTCTCTGAGAAATTGGCTTTCGAGGGAGCCGCCTGTAGTGCTGCAGACTGGGTTTCAGTTATAAATCTTCTGCTCCACTAATTGCCCAGAGTTTGTCTCGAGAGCTGCCTGAGGTTAATGCTGAGGAAGAAAGAGCCCTTTTGTCTTATCCTGAAATGGTGTCTCCATCCCCCCATCCCTGATGGGACATCAAGCAGGGAATTACCTATAGCAACACCCAAACAGGACAAGGAGAGCTGCGCTATGGGAAGAAGGGTGAGTTTGTTGTGTGTTTGCCTTGGCTTGCTTGGGCAAAGCCTTTGGCTCCTCTGGCATCTCCTGGTGTGGACCTCAGCAGCATTCCCTGGCTCTGGGCCCAGCACTGACCCTTTCCTTGCTGTGAAATCAGTCAATGCTCAATGGGATCAAGGAAGCTTATCTGGGAAGCCCAGCTACCATGGGCTTGGTAAAGCCATGCATTAAACTGATCAGAGCTATGTGATGTGATCCAGAATCCTCAACAGGGCTGCACTGTGGTGCCTGATGAGGAAGAGGGATGGAGAAGGAGGTGATGAGCTGCTGGTGCAGTTTGCATTCAGCTTTTCCCACCAGACCTTTGTGTTCTAACAGGCTGAAACAGCCTGTGCCAAAAGCTAGATCAGGTCCCTGTCTGTCCCCTCCACCCTGCCCATCTCTGAAGAGCTCATCCTTAACAAGGACGAGCAGAAACCAGGGTTCTAAGGACGTTCATGGGAGCTGTTAACCACTACTGAGCATCCTGGCTGCCATCGGCTGTCCTTGTCCCCTGCCCCAGTCTTGGGGATAAGGAGTGCTGAAGCCTCTTCTGCAGCGTGACTCCACATAAAGACCCATTTAATGCCTTTTAAATGTTGCTATGGATAAACACTCATTTCCAGCTTGTTTTGGATCAGGCAGGAACTTGCTGACAGAGCTTTGCTGACCAAAGTGACTGGGTGTTGAGGGACTAGGTCCTGCTTTGACAGCCAGGACAGGGATGCAGAAGATCTGGGTATACAGGCTCAGTGCACTTGGACATAAAGACTTTGAAACCCATAATCAGGAGCAGGATCTTCATACATTAAGTGTATGGGAATAAAAGCTGCCCTGTGGTCACCTCCCTGCCTTATCCCAGTGCTGGGAGGATACTGGGAGGTGCACATCTACAGAAAAGGGGAATTGCTGT